CGTTTATGACGAGTTGGCCCGCTGGGAGAAGTACGCCTACGGCTGCAACGAGTTGCTGTTCCACCCTCTTCGCTTCTGGGTTATCCGCAGTCCTTTCACCCCTCTGTTCCGCGACTTCATCGCCTCGAGCATTCCCCTTCCCAAGAAGATGACGATCATGGCTTATATCGGAACCTACTACGCCATTGCCGCCGCTTGGAGTATTACCCTTGCCAATTACTTCATCACCGGTTGGTTCTATGGTGCCTACGACAAGTATTACCTGGATTCCTTCGCCATCTACATCTCCATCATTGTCGTGTTCAACGGGCTCGGTAATCTTGCATTGGCCGTGCTGAGGTATAGACTGAGCGAGAAGTCGCTGCTCAGAGCTTGTATGTTCCATCCCTCCCCTTGTTCTCCCCCGTTGCCTCCTCACTGACTTTCGTTTTAGACTGGGAAAACATCAAGTGGATCCCAATGTTCAGCATCTTCCTCGGCGGTATCTCTCTGCACGTGGCACAAGCCATTCTCTCTCACTTCTTCGAAATCGACATGGTCTGGGGCGCGACAGCCAAGGAGCTCGAGGAAGTCAACTTTGGTTCCGAATTCTTCAAGATCATCCGGCGCTTCAAGTTTACTTTCATTTACTGCTTTGTCTGCACGGCTCTCATGATTTGTGGCAATCACGTCTTCCCGGTCGAGTGGAGAATCAGTGAGCTCTACGCCATTTTTCCACTTGGATTGTCGGTTGCTTGCCATTTCGCCTTGCCGGTGTTGTTGAATCCGGCTTTGATGATGTTTACTTGGTAAAATAAAATAAAAAAACGAAGACACGTTGATGGGGAAAAATACTATCTACTACAATTCTTTACGGCTTTTTTTCTTCTTTTTCTTATTTATCTATTCTCAAAGATCTTGAATATTTTCTATTTGGATTAATTATTATTGTTTATTGGATTGATTGATGGATATGATCTAGCCCAAACTTTTTTACTGCTCTTGTCAATGGGTTAGAAGGGAGTTTTTTTTGGGGGTTAATTATTTTAGATGCAAGAAGATACGCATGCACGCACGCACGCAAGCACATGTTCATATCATATATACACGGTGGGAAGAACATACACACACACACACATAACCGACAACCTTTTTATATATACTACATTTTACATGTATATCGTTTCTTTGAGATTTTTTCACCCTTTCTTTCGGTGGCGACAGTTGAAGGAAGGGGTTGAGGATGAGATAGACTGATATGCTTCTTCTTCGTTAATGAGACAGGCTTACATCTAAAACGGGGGGTCAATAAGCACACGATGCCTGGTTCATTGAATAACTGGCCGAGTGCTTGGGAAAGACAGGAGAGCTGGCCGTTCAGACAAAATTGCTATCAAAGATGCTTGAGTTGCCCGCGATGTGTTGGCCGGTGACTATCTGTGCTTCTGACCACTCCATGACGAGCGGCGTTCAGTGTTTTCTGGATATGTGAGACGCCTTTTGCTGAGAAGGGTCCAATTGATCGGTGGGAGACGGATATTATCTTGAGGTCAAAATCAAGAGAAAATTAATCAAGCTCATCTTGAAGCCTTCAGTCGAAACTCTATAAGCACGTTGGCGTTGATTGGCTTGGAAGTTCGAGATATCAAGGTCGTGGAACGTCGAGGTCGACTGGCTTGGCACAAAGTCAAGCAGGAGACAGTCGGCTAGAAATGGCAGTCTAAAAAGCGGTGAACCAGGTATTGATATAATCATATCGACGTATTCCCCAAAAATTTGAAGCACGCAACACAAGTCCAACGTTGTATTCGCTTCCACCGATCTTGGTGATCGAGTTGGTTGCACAGCCATAATGACCCCCAACTTTCAAAAAAGACATGAACTGGAGCTTCACATCACCAGCGTCACAAACTGGGAGAGCTCCCCCTCAATTAGCCAATCGATAAGCAATGCCAAGTCTAGAATCTTGCTTCCGCCCCATAAAAAAAAGCTCGGCACGCCACCCGATACTCACAAACTCAAACGGCTCCGCATGGATACCCCTCCAAAAATTTTCCCTCGTGCCCCTCCACAATCTTGTGAATTTGTCAATTGTCGCTCACTGCCAGCGAATGCCAGCCTACTATTATCCGGCAGACTTCCGGCACCTTCAAAAAAATGTCAACAGAATATATGGATCCAAACAGGACCCTTCACTGTTTGCCACTGTCCCTACATCCTTGATCACAGCGTTGCAGGGATAACCTCAGAGCATTCCCCAGTTGACATCTCGACGACTCGAGTCTCGATTCATCATTGACCCCTGCCCGCGGCCGGCATTGACACGAGAGCACGGCAACCGATCTCGGCCCCCTGCTACCTACCGACGGCGCCGCCCTTCCCCTCTCTCCCTCCGCTCGAACTATCTATCTACCCTTGGGACGGTGCTCCCAGTAGCGCCCCAGTCGTCGTCATTCCTCGACGAGCGCCCATCTTTCCGTAGATCCCGTCATCAGAAACCGCCAAAATGTGTGGCATCGTTGGTCTTATCTTGGCCGACTCGGCAAGCCCAGATGCCGCAGTCGACTTACACGAGAGCTTGTATTATCTTCAACATCGCGGTCAGGATGCCTGCGGCGTAGCGACCTGCGCGCCAGGAGGCAGGATATACCAGTGCAAGGGCAATGGCATGGCCTCCAAGGTATTCGAGGATGGAAAGCGCGTTGCCGACCTTCCTGGCTTCATGGGTATCGCCCATCTCCGTTACCCTACTGCCGGAACCAGCTCCGTACGTCTATTCATTAAATTTTTGTCCCTATCCCTTTGCGATGAGAGCAAAACTGACCTCAATCTCAATCTAAAAAGAGCGCCGAAAGCCAACCTTTCTACGTCAACTCCCCATACGGCATCTGCTTTGCGCACAACGGCAATCTGATCAATGCTCCCGAATTGCGCAGCTACCTTGACAAGGAGGCGCATCGCCATGTCAACACCGACTCAGACAGCGAGCTGATGCTCAACATCTTTGCCAATGCCCTCAACGAGACCGGCAAGGCCCGTGTGAACACAGACGACATCTTCAGCGCTCTCGGCCAGACATATACTAGATGCAAGGGCGCATGGGCTGCGACAGCCATGATCGCTGGCTTCGGCATCTGCGCCTTCCGCGATGAGCACGGCATCCGCCCCCTCGTCATGGGCACCCGGCCGTCGGCCACCCTCGAGGGCGGCATTGACTACATGTTTGCGTCTGAGAGCATCGCCCTTAGGCAACTAGGCTTCAAGAACTTCCAAGACATTCTTCCTGGTCAGGCTGTCTTCATTCAGAAGGGTGGCCAACCCCAGTTCCACCAAGTCGTCCCCGCCAAGGCCTACGCTCCCGATATCTTCGAGTACGTCTACTTCGCCAGACCAGATACCGTCATGGACGGCATTTCGGTCAACAAGAGCAGACAGAACATGGGCGCCAAGCTTGCAGACAAGATTAAAGAGGTTCTCGGCGAGCAGGGCGTCAAGGAGATTGATGTGATCATTCCAGTACCCGAGACCAGCTCGACTAGCGCAGCAATCGTTTCCGAACGTCTCGGCATACCATTCTCCAATGGTTTCATCAAGAACCGCTACGTCTATCGCACATTCATCCTCCCCGGCCAGAAGGCGAGGCAGAAGAGTGTCAGAAGAAAGTTGAGCGCCATGGAGTCCGAGTTCGACGGGCGCGTTGTGTGCCTGGTGGACGACTCGATTGTTCGTGGCACGACCAGCAGAGAGATTGTGAGCATGGCGCGGGAAGCCGGAGCACGCAAGGTTATCTTTGCCAGCTGCGCTCCTCCCATTATCCACCCCCATATTTACGGTATCGACCTCGCCAGCCCCCAGGAGTTGATCGCGCACGACAAGACGAGGCAGGATATTGCCAGGCACATCAATGCCGACGAAGTTGTTTACCAAGATCTGAACGATCTCAAGGCGGCCTGTACCGAAGCCTCTCCTGGCGGTCTCATCAAGGACTTTGAGATTGGTGTGTTCTGTGGATCATACAAGACCGAGGTGCCAGATGGCTACTTCGAGCATCTCAACGATCTTCGCGGTAAGAAGTTGGCTTCGACAGCAGTTGCCAGCAGTGGTCCCGTCAATGTGGCCAACGGCGCAGCTGTTGAGAACGGACTTCATATCCAGCTCGCCAGTGGAGAGTCGCTCAAGGTTGACTTGACCGGATATAATGTTGGTCCACGAACTCCGGATAACAGGCAAGATATCAGGTAAGATCTTTTTACTCTCATTTTTGTCGAATGCATTCGCTAATCACCGAGGTCTAGCATTCATAACTTGGCAACTGAGTAAACAACGAATGTTTAAAGTAATCAGGAAGCGAACGGCGACCGATCGAGAGAGCACTTTAAATATTCCGGCAAAGTGCAAAATTCGACTGGTGTTGATTGACAGCTGGAACTAATCTATTGATGGATATTGTCTGAGGAGTCGAGTTCTTTCCAAGTTTCCATTTCACCATTTCCATCATCGCACCAACAATTCTTCAAAATGATAGATGCTTCATAGATGAGAGAGAGGAAGGGTTTGTTGTGTCAAGCCCACATTTTGGCCTATACACAGCTTGCATTCGGTGGGATAGATGAAAAACTTTTGTTGTTGTGCGCATAGGTGTGCTTGCAAAAATGTGTAGATGAATACAACAGTTTATGAAGAATGAGAAACGATTTTCTACCTGGCAGTTCCCTCTAGTAGTGTGAAAGAATTTACATTGAGATGTATTTCGGTTGGTCACTCGCATCCTTTGATGTTTGCGCCCAGGTCAGACCGTGAGTTAATTACTTTATCTAAGGCCTAGAGGCCTTTCCGGGTCTCCGTCTCATGAGAAGCAAGCCAGAGAGATGTTGTGTTTATGACTATCTTGGGGACGAAACTGGGAGTTGAGGAGAATGCGTTACAGGAGCCAGTTGTAGTTGGCCAAAAAAAAAAAAAAAAAAAAAAAAGGAAATAGAAAAGAAATAGAAAAAAAATTGATCATCGTTGATCGGGAATTGAGCCCGACGTGGGGGTCGAACCCACAACCTTGAGATTTAATCGGAGATCTCTCTGAATTTAAGAGTCTCACGCTCTACCGATTGAGCTAGCCGGGCAGGCTAGAAGATTTTGATTGGAGATTGTGGCTGGAGTTTGGGTATATAGCTGGATTGTCGATGTTTGTGTGCAAAGGTATTTCAAGAATTCTTTTTGTCTTTCCCCCCCCCCCTTCTTCAGATTTCCTCGTAAATTTATGACCCCCTTGACGTTTTTGTTTATATCTACAGTCTTGAAACGATTTCAGCTTCACCGTATTAAACCGCCCTGCTGGCTTCCGTACTCAACTCTCCTGGTTAGCCAACCCTGATATAAGTTCTGGGCCTGAGAATCCGGATGGATATTGATATCACGACGCTTCTTGCACCAGGTTTCAAGCGCGCAAACCCGGCGAAAAAAAGTTCTTCAACCTGCTGGGCTGGTTCGGTGACCTTGACTTCGTTTAGAGTCTGGTTTTGTTGCACTGCATCGGATGAAGAGATCCGTGCCTCTATCCTCAATTCAGCACTGGTCCAGGATGAGATCGGGGGACTGCTCAGCTCCAAAGTTGAGGTGGTCCTCATCTACAGGCTCTCCTAGCTCGTAAATATCGATGAGTACCGTAAATCTGGAGGGAATCTGGGGTGCGGGATTCTGACAGGTGGCGGTTGATGGCAGACAGCAGCTTGGACCCTCTCGTTGCGGACTTTCTCAACAAGTCAAGCCAAGCTTTGTTCGAGGTTCACGTTGACAAAGCGAATCTCAGGAATTGGATTGTTAAGCTGGTGTCGAGCAGTAAGAAGGAACCATGTTGTATTCTGGCCAGCTCAGTCTCTGGATGTGGTGGTGAACGGTGCCGAGGTTGGGCCTGGCCATTTGCGGAGATGATGATAGCGTGTCACGGTGAGTCTCCTAGAGTTCTTGATGTCGTTGCAAGTAGTGTTAAATGAGTTGAAACGATACATAGACAGAACTACGAAGAGGGCCTCACTATATAACTCCGTGTCAGAATCGCGATCATGCGGAGGTGATGCCAAAGAGTGCCGCCGAAATGAATGCCCAAGTCAGTCATGGCTGTCGTCGTGCCTTGGGAGCAAGCCTCAACATGTGGCAGCCGACAACCTCAACCCTGACAGCCAACACAGCACCAAACCTGTCCCGTGCAGTGGCTCATCATTCTTCCCATCTCGGGCACTGATGATGAGAGCTGGTGGCGGCAAGAGGAATTATCATGCGGTCTTGGATGCGGTACCACCTGAACTGGATTGGTTTACACTGCAGTCATTGATCGCTGGCTCCAGAAACTCATGGGCTCGAATTTTGAACCCAACGTATCCGTACATCGTCGAGAGAATCAGGTATTGCATTACAAAGAGTACCTAAGAATCTGCACTAACTTGTGGAGGTGTAAAATTCAGCCCCGGGGCAACAAGAATACAGACAAGAAGCTGTAATTCGTTCCGTCTTTCGACCAGGCACTCTCGGAAGCTTTGGCAGCCCTGGAATTGCAAGAAATGGATGCCCACGCAATTTGGCACCGCATTTTCAGAAGTATACTTCTTGGTCTTGACCTATCAACGTCCATGTTTTGGGTTATTGATGGACTTGACGAGTGCGACACACCTCGGGAAGCGATCAGGTTCTTTGCAGAGATATTGGAGGCACCACTCCCGATTCGTATCCCGATCACAAGCCGTCACATGCGTGATGTTGGGGGAGAGCTGGCAAAATCCCCATCTGGCTGGGAGATGGTCACAATTGAGGAACATACCGACGACTTTCGAACATGTATCAATCAAGATCTTCAGTGGTTCGGCTCTCAATCTCTCAAAGAAAACATCATCAAGCAGCTCTTGGATTCAGCACAGGAAAACTTTCTATGGTTAAAGCTGACAGTGGATTGCATCAATCGATGCCACACCGAAGAAGAGACCAGTCACGCTATTCGGGAGATTCCATCAGGTATGGAGGCACTCTTCGGCCGTATGGCAAAATCCATATCCACCAGAGGTTCAGCAGAACAAAAACTCGTTTCAGCAATCCTATCTTGGGCAGTCTGCTCCCATCGTCCCTTAAGCATAAGAGAACTTTTGGAAGCTCTTGAAACCACTGGTGTACAAATCATCAATCTTCAAGTTTCTATAATGGATCTCTGTGGTGGCTTTTTAGTTGTTGACGGAAAAGATACCGTGACCTTGATTCACGAAACCGCACGAGAATATTTGCTCAGTCCAAAACGGCCCTTCAATATTGACGAGAAGGCAGCACAAGAAATGCTGTTGACCATATGTCTTGCTTGTTTATCAGCTCCCGATCTTCGGTACAAGCTCAGACATGGCAAACAAAGTCCTTTCGTCTCATACGCGGCATCGAGCTGGGTTGCTCATCCTTACAATTACAGCAACGCGAGTGCTTGCCCCGAGTTTATACCTGCTCTTATTGGCTTTCTAAAGAGCAAGGACATTCTAACACGGATAGAAGCCCCTGCCCGGCCTGGCCAACTGCAGATACTCATTAAGGCCTCGACTGACTTGTTGTTCGTTGCTGCTAGCCTGGCAAACAGCATAATGAGCGACTCGGCTCCGAATCATTCTCCCTCTGACCACGAATTAATCAGGCGTTGGGCGGTTGATCTACATCGAATCTTTAGAAATTTCCGTGAACAGTTACAGCGATATCCCGAAAATATCCACAAAGCGATTCCTCTATTTTGCCCTCCCAGCTCAATCATCTACCAGCAGTTTGCGCAAACAAAGTCTCTCGACATCCAGATCAGCGGCCGCGGGGCTGCTGATTGGGACGACGTGACCACTCGCCTTATCCCTGGACGAGCGTACGTGGGCATGAGAATTTTCGCAAAAGGAAAGTGGATTTTCTTGGTCGCGGCAGACAACATAGACTGGACTGTGACCACAATCTTCGTCTATCACGCTTACACCTACCAATTAACAAGACAATTCCGGCTTACAGATGCCTCTGAGGTATACCAGGTCAATGAGAAAGGAACGCTGCTCATCACCTGTGGAAAGTCCGTCACTTGAGTTTGGGATTTACCAACCGGAGACTGTCTAGTAGATACACTGTGCTCTTTTTATGATGACGATCCAATCAGCGCAGCATTCGCCAACGATGATGCAACTGCTATCATATTGACAGAGCGTGGCAGGCAATGGCGACTGTCTCTTTGTCGGCAAGACAGCGTGTTTGAGGAGGCCTCACAGATTACAGACCCAGACACAGGACTCGAGTTTGTGTCTGTTTACGCAGCCGTCAAGAGTGATGGAAGCCTCTTGGCCATCGAAAGCAAGGAAGGCTCGATTATGGTGTGCGCATCAGATGGGCCCCAGTGTATTGCTCACTCTACCAAGGTTTCCGGACTCAAATACATGGTTTGGCATCCTTCTACCCTGGAGATCTTCGGCCTCCATACAATACCGAATACAGGTCTCGGCCAGACACACTGGGTGTTCAGGTGGGACTTTGACAATGACCAACTGGTCCAAGAAGGTTTGAAAATACCACCACGCTCGAGAGCATCCGACATTGAAGTGAGCCCCAATGGTCAGCTGCTAGCCATCAGCATATGGGGCGAGCTTCCCGGCCAGAACATACAAACACTTCGGTCGGCCCATGACCTGAGCCTCCTGTACCAGATACAGTCAAATTCCAGTTTGTTCGGGGTAGCATTCAGCGTCGACGGCCGCCAGCTCTACGACATTACAGATGCATTTGTTCGCGTGCGCGAGTCGAGCATATTGTTGAAGTTGTCTGGGTGTTCGGATCAGCGAGGTTTGGTCAAAGTGGCAAAGACAGACCAAGTTCGACGTGGTCAGTCAATTCCAGCATCAAGCCCACAACCCAACGGGCCCCTGTACTGCACTGCTACGCATTCGGGGTTGGTTATGGTGCACGACAGTCAAACGGACGAACCGCTGCCGCTCATTTGTGGAGAAGAACTTTCAGCCCCTTATCTACTCGAGTGGAACAGCAAAGGAACCACTGTTGCTATTGCATCCGGCCCAAATGGAAACAGAATCTCGATTTACCGGATCGCCCAATCCACGCGACGAGGTGCGATCGAGGAGCATCTTGTTTCAAACATGTCTATTTCAGCCGGCCCAAAGTTCCTCGACCAGGTTCTTTTCCATCCTCATGAGAACATCCTTTTACTCAGTCGAAGCGGTAGTAGAGCGATGATGTTGTCATTCAGTGATAACCTGGTGATAGCAGAGACCTCGATGATTGTTCACGGGAGGTGGATTACACACCCGACGGACGATCGGTATCTCATTCTCGTCGAGCCGTCCACGGTTAGCATTTACACCTGGGAGACACTGGAAAAGGTTTCTTGGATTCACAGGCCCCATCCTCGGCCGGAAAGGTTAACATCCTCACACCCAAGTCAACAACTCGCCGTACAAAGACTGATACCCACGCCTTCCGGAAAGTAGCTCCTTGTATGCGAAACGAGCAATCTGGATGTATCACGGACCACGGACTCTAGATGCTCGATGATGAATATTGATGCATTGACAGAGCATCTACTTCCCTCCGATAAGCACCTTTCCATGTCTCATCTCGCAGAAATCCCCATCTCATTTGGGCTTCCCACCGAAGTCTCATCTCGAATCTATGTACCGGTCACTTTCATCCGGTCTTCTGTTACTGGAGATGACAAACTCATTTTTCTGGGAAACGACGGTACTGTTTGCAGCTGGACCGTAACAGAAGACTCCTGGGGCTTTCTTCTCGACAGAACTCAGAGTAGTAATGTCCGTGAAGTTAGTGGCACGAGCGCTCGGACTTCAAGTTCTTTTACAGCGAAGGTCAAATCGCATTATGGGTTTCCTGAGGACTGGCAGGATAGGTGGAGGTTCCCCAAGGTTCGAGCGTTTGTGGATGGGACATTGTTGTTCCCGCTGAATAGCGAAGTGGCAGATAGTGAGGTGTGAGAGTTTGGGGTTATAAGCTTTGGATGGTCAATTCACCTAGTAAAGTCTGTCTGCCCAGTGATCACGGACTTTGATGAGGTTCTAATACGGTAAGCTATAGACAACGACATAGGGAAAAAAAACGCATC